TTTAGTAGATGGATGATTGCACTTACAATGTAGGTAGTCAGCAAGGTCGCCCCCATTGCAGTACTGAGATTGGAAAGAGAAGTGGGTGGGGGATGAGAGAGGGAGAGGGAGAGGGAGAGGAAGATGCCATGAATAACATTAGGAAACACGGGTAACATGGAGGGCTGATGTGTTACCACGGTATCTGACATCACCTGATCTCTGAAGGATCCAAAAACAAAAAGATCAGAGAAGTGACTTGCTGAAAAGTGGCATGTTTACAGGTTTAGAAACCTGCTCTCGTTCCCAGAATTAATAAGGATGAGCCCAAGAAAGGACAGGGTGTGTTATGACAGGTATGGCTCTGAAAGGCTGCCTCACAAGTCACAGGCTTTTCTATACAATACAATTAAACCATTCAAATAAGTAGGACAAGTTATGTACCAGTTCTGTAGTTTATTTCAAGCTATGTCACAAGTATGTCCCACTTATCTAATGCTGTTTTTAGCCAGCAACTACTAGTTACATTCTTTTTTTTCCAATTTGGCCTATTGTAAAGTTCAGTGCACTTTGAAACTCATACTATGTCATCATTTCTGAGGAAATACATTCATTTATAGAGGAAAAATCCATCAGACAGATCAAATAAATGTCATAGTTCTTTTGACACTGTATGATGTTGTATTTTTTTTCTTTTATTATTTATTTGGACCCCAGGAACATTATTTTTCCTGCAGTTCACTGCAGAGCACTGCATTTTAAACTCCCCAGGCTGAGGGGAAAAAAACCCAAAACATATGATAGATTAAAACGAAAATACTTCAACAGGAAATATTGTGTCAGAATAAGAAGAACTAGCATGACATGCAATTCTTGCCATGTCTTCCAGGAATTATCTATGTGCAGAAAGCATGTGTTTTAGTGCTTAAACTAGCGAGGAAAACCTGCTCTGAGGTTATGTTTAGCTCATGTTAAACTTGAATTCAGTGTTGTTTCCTGGTACCTGGACAGACACGTACACACACACACACACACACATACACACACACACACAGACACACAAAAGGGTGTTTTAGGCCAAAGTCCAAAGCACTTAGAAGATTCCCAAAAATGATTTCCCCTTTGGCTCTTTATCACAGGTAAATGGCACCAAGCCACAGCAAAAACCTTACGACATTTGTTGACTGGTAGCCGTTCAACCCCCTTGATGCCTGGGAACACAGCTATTTATAACCTGGGCTCTGTCAGAGCTGCCTGTTAAAGCTGAGACAAAACAGCACTGAGCAAGCAAAACCAAACATCAGAGCATGCTTACCTCCATTACCAGGTACACTGAGCTGGCAGTTTCCTAAACAGAGAAGAGATAAGAGCGGGCATGAACAAACACATGTCAGTGACAGACAAAGGGTGGAACAGGTGGTACTTGTGCTCATTGATCATGTCCAAACAAGCTAAGCTGTTGATTCAGATTGGAGAAATAAAGTGAAAGGAAGATAGCAGCTCTGTACAATAACAGTCTTACAATATTAGCTGTGTAAAACTGAATCTATCCCAGCAGCACTGGGGTCCTACAAAACATGGCCGGTTTATGGCTGTGAATTTTACACACTGGGATTAGAGCATAGTAAAAAGTAAACACCTTCCTGGTGTTTGTGACAAAAAAAGTGAGTCCTTGTTGAAAAAGCCTTATCACATGGCAACAGACGGCTGCTGTCCCCCACTCTGACCTCAGCTCAGTATCTTGTTGAATCCACAAGACTGTCTCTATAGTTCAGCTGAGTCAGGCCTTCTGAAGTCTGGATCTGTTGATGGTAGACAGCAACCAGACAACAGACCAAATCAGACAGAACAGACCAGAGTCAGTCAGTTTCAGTCAGAGAGCCAGCCAGTTTCCATAGGCTCTCTGTCCAGCAGCAGTGCAGCATCACACACCACTGTCAGATAAAAGTTTGGTTTTGTGTTGAAGGATCATCCTAAGGCATCATGGTTAACAGATTTATGATTTGCACTAGACCAACAACATCAAGAAAGCTAACTGGAGTGAGGAGTTTGCAAATCTGCAGTCCAGTCAATGAAATAAGATTGGATAAGTGGGTTAGAGCTACTTTTGCTGTGTTTCCACTATCAGAGACTAACAAGCTGTATACCAAGTACTTTCCTTAACCATCACCAAACATAGTCTCCAGGGTTGACGTGGACTGTTCTGCTTTGTTTTTCCACTGTATTTTCTCTGTCGGTCTCTCTTTAGATGAAGGAGGGGGTGCTCCCCTCTCACACATGCAGTCAGCTGTGTGTTTACACATGGTGTTTGTAATGCTAATGCTTGAGGTGTAAAGACAAGGACATTTAACCAGTTACTGGTGACTGCTCTGTGCATACACACACCCTCCCCCCAAAAATTCCTGGTACTTGATTTTAGCACTACCTCCAAAGGGGGCATACTCTAGTGGAAACAAACGCAGAACCTGTGATGAGCATTACTTGGTGGAATACATTTCAGTAGGTTCCTATAATGGAAAAATCCCTATTGAAGAAACATTTTGAGGTTGTGATTCACAAGAAGCATCTGCTAATGTGAACACTGCCTTTCAAAAATAAATCTCAGCAGATTTATGATCAAGTACTGCAGGGAAGGGTTACAAAGTAATCTCAGAGTTCACCTTTTCATCAGTCCACAGTTAGACAAACTGTCTACAAATGAAGAGGATTCAGTACTTTGGTTACTTTCCCTAGAAGTGGACTCCAAGCTGACTCCAGTGGAGCAATGTAGAATGCATGTTTGCCAAGGAGTGCTATTACACTCTACAATGCTACTAGGACTGATGAAACTAAGGGTGAATTGACTGAGGAAAGGCAGCACTGGCTCAGTAGAAGTAGGGGGATGCAGCAAGACAATGACTCTAAACATGAAAGTAAATCAACTACAGAATGACTTCAAACAAAGAAAACCCTCATTCTGGAGCAGCCCAATCAGAGCCCAAACCTTAACCCGAGAGACAAGCTATGGAATGAGGTCAAGAGAGCCATTTCCACCAGACATCCATAAGAACAGGGCTAAACTGAAGTAGCTCTGTGAGGAAGACTAGTCAAAAGTCCTTCCTGAATGTTGTGTAGGTTGATCTGCAGCTACCCCAAGCTGCTTGTTTGATGTCACTGCTGCCAAAGGAGGTTCGACCATTTATTAAACCCAAGGGTTCACTTTTTCCACCAGCACTGTGAATGTTTTATGGACATGTCCAAAAAAGAATAAAAAAATGATCACTGTTTGTGTGTTATTTGCTTAAGCCACATTGGGTTTGTCTAATATTTATGACTTAGCTAAAGATCAGATCACATTTTATGAACACTTAATGCAGAAAGCCAAGTAATTCCCTCGGGTTTCCATACTTTTTTTTTGCCACTGTGTTTTTCTTGCTAAAGCACAAGGTGTACTGTCCTCAGTGAGGACTGAACGGGTGTCCTCTGTTTCTCACTGAGTGAGTGTGTCTCTTAACTAAACATTACATGTTGCCACCTCTACTCAGTCCATCTGTCTGATATTTGCACTTGCTCAAACAGCAGATGTTTTGTTTGTAGCCTATACTTCCACAGTCTAGCTCTTCTCCTTTCCCATTCTGAATGGCAAATACTGATAACGCCACCAAATAACCTGAGTTATTTCACTCACACGCGCAGAACATACGTGCTAGTTGGACGTTGGCTGTGGTCTGTGCGTTGTTTTCAAGTGTCAATGTTTTAACCTGACTGGCCCAGAAAAAGCCAACATGAGGCAACGCAACAGTCGGCCTTTGTCACTGTTAGTTCTTTCACGTCGGCTTGGCGTGTGCCTTAGAGCCCAGCTCAGATTATCTTCACTGCCCAGAGACAGGTGTCACTGTGAGTCAATATAAATACAAGAGAGTCACTAGTTTTTGAGGTCTGCGGGGGACGAGACAGGACAACCAGTTGCAACTGCTTTTCTTAAAGCTACTGATGAAGAGTTCTTCAGCTAAGCAGTTAAATCCCTACTTGTCACCAGTACAACACGGTGACTGTGCTGCAGCTGATTGCATATCACTGGGCATGATTTTTTGTAGCCTTCTTTCCACAATGACTAAAACAGAAAGGGGTAAACTCAAATCAATAAAACAAATCTCCAAATACAGGTAAATAAAACATGAGATTTCACATGGAATAAAAAAGGTAAATAGCCCAGTAAAAGAACACAGTGAGACCAGAAATGTTTATGTGAAAGCATAAGAAGAAACAATCAAGCAGCAAGACTGATTGTCCACTTTTTTTTTTAATACTTAGGCATTACAGAAATGTTCTAAAGCTTAAACATTTATTCTAGACAATTTTCTCCAAAACAGACCATCCCTAGTCTGATACTGTCAGTTTGCAATATTGTAGTTAAATGTTACATTAATTACATATATATAATCTGTGCATTAGATGGCAGTGAGTTGGTCAGGGACCAAAAAAGACAAAGAAACACACGGTGAGTGTGTGTGGGGGCAGGGGGCTATGCTGTCTAAACTGCTCAACTGGTTACTAGGCTACAGGCAACATCACCATGACTGTGGACTCCTATTCATCACCTTGCAATGCAACACCTTTTTTATTCTGGTACCTAGCTAAAGATTTAATAGTAGTATTTATATCTGATTATGTAATGTACATATGCACAGGTTATAAATTTAACTGCATAACATGTATTCTGCACCCTTGGCACATGATTTATGCCAAGAAAAAGGGGATAAACTCTTTGAGCACAAATACTTGAGGCAAGTAAAACATGAAGACAATATAATTCCTAGAAAGCCCTAATCAAGGCAACTTGCAGGGCCAGGCAACATGACAGCAGACAACATGTAAACAAGGGAAATGATGGCTGAGTGGATGGATGAGTTTGGATTTGCTGTACATGGAAGAGCAGAAGAAAACATGTCTGTACAGGATGAAACAGAAACTGCTTTTCAGAACAAACAACTGTAGCAAAGCCTCATTTAACAAGCAGGGAAAACAAAACCGTTCAAGCTGCATGAGAGAGAAGTGGGTCATGTGGAACAGTACGTCTAACAACCCATCTGCTCTGTCTGCTCTGTGAGCACAAACTGATGGGAAAACAAGGACAACAGAAGATGTAATAATTATGTAAACAGAGCGCTGGACACTCTGCAGTCAGCCTGTTCCCAACGCTGTCTAGATGCCAGTTGCGAGTGTAGTATTACATACCTGAAAGTCCAGTAATGCAACAATATTTTCATGTTTCAGTTCCTGCAGAGTAGACAAAGAAAATCATTGTTTGCTTTGTATATCCTTCATTTTTATGTTTGCAATCTCAGGAAAACTTTACTTTTATTTTCAGTATATTATCTCCATGTTCAAGGAGATAACTATGTTGGGAAAATCGCTGCTCATATTTCACTCTAACATCTGGCACATCTCCAGTTCTGGATACCTCTGTGGTTTACCACTGCTGGTGTGGACACATAATGTAGTATTGTTTTCTTTGTTTTATATGTTTGGGTGGGGAGGTTGTTTTGTTTTTTTGCCCTGGATACCATTTTGTTTTATGAACACTGCTATTGCTTATAATAATGTTCTAAGTATACAGTGACATAATATCTGGAAACCAGGGAATCCTTGTAAAAGATGGACTTATCAGAGTTCTGACTTACCTTGAGTATTTTGATCTCTTTCCCCAGTGTCTGGGATTTGGCCAGGTTCTTTTTGTTTATGCATTTCACTGCCACCTCCCAGTCATGTTTCTAGAAGGACACGTTACATGGTGTATAAAACTAAAGCAATGCACAGTATATGTTACACTATTTCATTGCTTAGTAAATGATGAGCTACTATCCACGCACTATAGTACAATTTCCAGTGTGGTTTAGTATGTACACTACATTTTATTCCCCCCAACATGCATAGGCTGTCAGACTGACAGACTCTACCACATTTATTATACTTGGATGTCTAAGGTGTTGCACCTAAGCCCATATTTATGAACTAATGTCAACTGTTTTGTCTATAGAATTTGGTAATGATTATAACCTGCAGATACTGTAATCAACCAGAGGGTCTGGATAGTATAAAGTAGTTTTGTAGAACAGCACTTGACTCTGTATTCTGTTACGTAAACTCTAGATGTTCTAGCCAAAGTTAATATAATGTCTTTGTCAGTGTATTTTCTCATTTTACAACATATTTCAATGTATTATTTTGTGTCTGTTTTGCAATATGTGCTCTGTTGTGGATTAAATGTATCTCTTACTAATCAAGGAATAAAAATGCTAGAGGCCTACATTTCCCCTTGATGTCCAGTTTATCTCAGAAGAAGAGATACATGATATTACCAGGATGTAATCAAATTGCTATAACATAATGAAAATGTATATTCCAAGACAGGATGTGTTAGGCTGTGATATGTTTCAACATGTTTACTAATGACCTCAATATGGAGCTTTCTAAGAGGAACAGTACATATCTTCTGGCCTATATTCGATATTGCCACAATTAGCGCCGTGCCTCATCTTTATTATAAGCCTGCATTATAACCTGAACATGCACTGATAAATGGTGTCATAAGTATTTAACATGTACTTTAACGTTTTATGCAATGGCGATCTGTTATTACTGTACAAGGAACATCCTGGATGTGCTACCAGGCCTCTTAAGGTCGTACAATGAAAACAAATACACCAGATGGCTAATAAAGGCGATTTTCTCCTCAAAGTACAACAAGACCACCCAGGAGACTTAAATTTCGTCTTTGTTTGCGATAGTGTACATTTTTACGTTGTAACATAAATAACAGACACGGACAACGCTTACCTCTCGGTGTCTACCTTTGAAGACTACAGCAAATGCGCCATGTCCTATCAGGTCCTTCCGACTGAACTCAAATTTCCCCACCGTCTCCATCATTTACCAAAGTCTAATTTTATACTACTATGACCTGGACAAATGGCCAGGTGGCTTCAGATCGTCCTTCTCGTTATCAAGTGCTCCTTTCTCCTCTGTCAAGTAGGGACAGCAGCAGGGATGTTCACCACCTCTTTCACTTGCCATGAGCTGCCTTCCGAACAACAAACTGTCCCCTTCTCTCATGTTCGCACGCATGGGTTTTGGAGTTTAACTCCTAACAAAGCACTGTGATGATATCCATCTCTGGGAGTGCGGCCAAGAGGAAGTTAGCTAGCTTAAACGGGAATCGGGATAGACTTGTTTTTGTAGCAATCTTTAACGTGCCACCTTAACAGCAGCTCGCTGCGTTATGTTTATATACAGGAGGTCCTGACTTCTGTCGTCTGAAGCGTCCGCACGGCGAAACAAGTCCTGACTGTAAACTTTTAAACAATGAACAATGTCTAAGAACCGTCAAAGACTGTGAATACTCTCCACAATCGCTTACAATCAGCAAATGACTTGCTGAGTGTCGTCGATGGTCCCAACAAAGCAGACTGTACTGAGACTCTACGAGAGAGCGCATGCGCAGCGCAATTACAGCTGTTGGCTTGACGTCAGCCGACCAGTGTCCACAGATGTGTTAGTGCAGCCTATGGTTGAACGTGCGTATAGCAGCGTAGGTAAAATAATTTTACGCGTAAAAACATGGCACAGGAGTGGGGGGGAAATATCAAGATATCAAGATAAAAACTCCGGAAACAGGTAGTTTGCAGTTATAATCATATAATTGTTTAAAATAATAACATAATGTTAATCTACAGGCTATGGAATGTTTGAAAGGTTTTACAGCTTACTGCCATTTCCATGCTAAACATTCTTTTTTCCTTATCAACAAAACCACAGCACCACAGCCTGAGCAAAACATATGTTTTTCTTATACTCACCACTATTTGGAGAGGAGGGCTATGACCATTATCATCATGATCATCATGGGGCAGTGAATGTTTCCACTCCACTTTATGTAGAAGTGTCAGTTTTGCATAATCACTGTATAATCTTTTTTTTTTTTATTAGAAAAACAAATCTGTGGATTACTGAAGAGGATGGGGGGAAAGGTAAAGAATAGAAACTGTACTCCATTTTCAAACTCACAGCTGAGGATAGCAATATCCACATGCCCGAAGGGAGTAAAATGAAATAGGATCACAAAGGTAGAATGAGGAGGGAAGTGAAAGGGAATGAGGCGAGGGAAGCCTGTTGAAAGTTTAAATGGAGAAAAATAACAGATGTGGTTAACACAGTGAAGACAGATTGAGTTGACAGAACAACATGGCAGACACAATGGGAGATAAAACACAAAATTACATGGACAGCTGCAAACTGAAGAATCAAGAGATAGACAAAAAAAGCACAAGAAGATCTAAAGTGCTTTCATGAGGGAACAGAGGCTAATGCTTACTATATATTGTTCTTGAAATTTACTCAAATTGTAAGCTTAACATTTCTCTGTGTTCAGAATTAAGTAAGCAATATAAGTTCTGTTTCATTAATACTTCAGTAACTTTCCAGGGTCTCTTTTAAAGTTGGAGGACATCTGAATGAACATTAAATAATGACATAAAAATGGAGACCCTTAATGCAAAGGAGGAAATAATGTTCAGGGTCCTGGCCTATATAGAGAATCATAACTGTTTAAATAACCAAAACAAAGGGATAAATAAAGGGATAACTATTATCTATAACCTCAAATCAAGGACTTAACTATCAGGGTTTTTTTTTTTTACAGTTCTTGTGTAATTGCTTTACAGAGGGTATAATATAACAATGACTCTCTTTACTTTTTACTTTCCCCTTTTTCTTTTTACAGTATATTGGCCATAGACACATTGACCCACTGTGTTAAATGTGCAAACGTTAATGAGAGGCTGAATCTAATGCAAGTTGCTTTTGGTTTTATTTGGTGGGCTAACATGCTGTACCTCTGACAAATATATTTCATTATCATATTAGATTGTTCTTGAGACAAAACTCTTTCTACAGTAAGGTGCAGGTGATAAAGGTGTAAATAATTTAACATCACAGCCATAGCAAAAAACAAAAACAAAACAAAAAACAAAAAACAATAACTGTGATGTGAATGTATAACACAGAATTCAGTGCACATACTGTGTGTCAGTGTGAACAAAGCTTTTATTAATAACAATGCATAATATTATAAACACAGATCTTAGTTTGATATTTTTGTCTCAGCAGCTCATCTTTGGGAGTTGAGTGTTTGGGACATTTTCTGTACTTTGAAGTGCCAGAGGGGGGCGGTAGAGGACTGAAAAAGGCAGCAGGTCAGAGTTTCACCTTTTCATGCACTCTCAGTGTCACCATTCTGATATTAGTTTTCCTAAAACACAGAATGATATGACATTTACTGAGGAAATGTCAGTGACAGTATCACGAAACTATAACTAGAACATTGTCTGAAGTTACAAAAGAATAACTGGAAAAGTTTATTTAAAAATAATACTCGCACATTGTTAAATACCAGCTATTTAAAGTAAGATGTTTTTAGGATTTAAATTTTCTGATATTTTGGCAGTGACAGGGCCAGTATGATCACCTTGAAACATTTCACTCTCTGGCCACTCTCATTCAACTGGCAAACTGATTTATATTGTAGCTCATACAATAGCCAGATATTGTATAATACTGCTGCAGTATTGGGCAACAACACTTCTGCATGCTATCATAGATTAGTCATATTTGTTTTACTGGCCAATTCCCATCCATAGTGCACCTCTGACAGAGGGCTTGAGCAGAAGCTGTGATGTGTTTGTATATACTGTATGTAAAATGATAATTAAAATTGTCCTCTATAACTCTTCTGTATGTTTCACTGTATCTGAGAGTTTGACTATATAGGACACATGGTGTATTTTGCTGTAAGCAGCCCACTAGCCATCGATGCAGTTGTCCTCTCTGGCCCACATTAAGTCTCTACTAGTGACAGCTAGTGCAAAAGCCTTCAGGTGTTCTCTAGCCAGCAGTGCCAGAATATACTGTACTTGCAAACTGCATACAAACATAATGTAACTTGCCAGTTAAATTACACTTTTAATGCAGTATTGTCACACACACACAATACTGCACATCTACAACATCAGTATCTGAAGTCAGACTGAAGCTGACACACATGTAACCACACTACTACTCACACTCACACAAATACACAGGGGTGCCTCACCTCATTATGCAAGGACATAATGACCATCAGTGCACATTTTGTGTGTGTGCAATGCATTTTAAGTGCTCAGCCATACTAATGATCACTGAAGGACAACTATGCATGTGAAAAAACATACAACCTTAGTTACAGACACAAAATAATGTTATAACATTTGTTTTATATTAGTTATAGCTTTCCCTCAGTCCAACCAACATTCGTTCTCACTCTTAAACTCGCATACCTTTTAATGTTTTATATCTGGAATGAAATAGATGAAGAATTCATTGTGCACGTGTGTGCTTTGTAGGGACATTTTAAATGTCCCACAGTGACACTGTGGGGACTTACCACCAATCTAAGAACAATACCTAGTCCTCAGTAGGTAAAGTTATTGATTAGTGTTAATTAATCAATACTAAAACAAACAAATAAACAAACAGACAGACAAACACAAAATCAAGGGTGTGAATGTGTGTCACTGCATGTTTGTAGGCCTGAAGAATGTAAATCTCTTCATCATGGCTTTTCATACGTCTTTTATTGTTATGCCAGCCATCACTTCAACTTTCTACTTTGACATTTACTATTAGTGCACTACACACACACACACATAGAAAAGAAGTTCTGTCTCTATAGCTATATTTCTTGGTTTTGTTTTTTTGTTTTGTTTTATTGCAAACCACTTTGAGCTACACACCTTATCTATGTTTTAATTTATGCTTATTATGGGAGAGGTTGTGGCATTGTGCCCTGCTCATCTCTTCTGCCTAACATCAAACATTATACTGCACACTTGGTGAAAATGTTGCACAGCTGACTGGTAGCCAACTTTTTCATGTAGATGGATAGCTACTAATCTTATCGTGAAGGTCACTGCTGTTTTCAAACTCATCTCCGCAGTCAAATGAACTTTTAAATCTTGATCAGCATAACAGCTTTGTCTGCATACTGCGTGGCTATGCTCAAATGTGTGATCTCTGCCAATAGGTCATGCCAGATAATTAAACTGAAAAGTTGAGGGAAATTCAATATGTGCTATTACAGCTGAGGGAGCCTTGGTCTCAGGGGAGGCTTTGGTATTCATGGGATGTATGTAAAGCTTTTTGAAAGCATCGAGTAACCCAAGCTCCTGCTGGAAACACAAGATGTTAAATGTATCAGAATGGACTTCTGTGGTCTCATGGTACAGATCAATACAATATTAAAATGGCTGCATGAAGGGATTCCCTGATTAATGCTTTCAAAAGTGCTGATCACTCTCCACTCTTAACCTATTTTTTTTCTCAATGACTAAACTACCAGATGGCTTTAATGCATTTGTTCTTAATCATTATCAATATCCAGCTACTTGAGGATGAATTCGGGTTCAACAGAAATGTATCTTGCCACAGATATGACCAATAACACAGTGGGATGTTCATTTTAATTTTATGTATCTGATTAGTCTGCAAACTACTTAAAGGTAGAGTTGGCAATCCTTGAAAAACCAGCATTGAGAAAGCTCGATTTTGAAAGTAAACAACTGAAGAAATCCCACCCTTTCATTCTGACTTCTCTCTAAAGCCACTCCTCCAAAACACAGCACAAACTGCAACGTGCACTGCCTGACTATTTACAGATTTCAGGAAAATAAAAAATGCCCCCAAACAAAACAAAACTGATAAGCATCTGTCCAACAGAAATACAGCCACCATGGCATCACTTCTCAGCCCCTTTTATTCTCTCTGTTGTTGCCATGATTCAAAAGACACACCAATGTTAATTCTGGTTTGACTTCTTACAGCATCCAACTTCTTTTTATTTGTAACTTTCTCGAATATGGTCTCCATTTGGAAACAAAAGCTGCTGTAGGTACCTTCTCTGCCATTGCTCACTAGCTTTAGCTCTACAACAGAACATGTCTGTCTGCAACATCATGTGTGCTTGACTTACGCACTGAGTGCAAGGGCAGAGTGCACACAAGTAGAAAATAGTCTGACAGGCAGGTAGGCCATCCAATTGTTTTGCTTGGACCGAGTAAAATTACTGGTCAGGCTTTATTCAGCCCTGCTGCTGCCACAGATGACGGATTTTATTCTTTATGTTGTCAGTGCATTTAATCTGTTTTATTCCTATTTATCTCATTTCACAAAGAGCATTCCTTTGTCTGTCTGCATTATTTACCACCCATTTATACTGCTTATTTTGCATTGTTTGCACTGCTTGCTGCTTGTTAATACTGCTCATTATGTTATTACTAGCCTTATGTTGGTTTACTGTTTACTTGCCCCTTGCATGGGGATATGCAAGTCTTGTGATAAGTATCAGCTCATGGTGCCTAGAGTTCGGACCGAAAAAGGGAAACGGGCTTTTGGATTTGCCGCTCCCTCTTCGTGGAATAGTTTCCAAGCAGATTTTAAACTTACTGAATTATGCTCAGTTAAAGCTTTTTATTCTCTTATGGCTCTTAGGCAACAGGACTCTATTGGTCAGTGTATGTGTTTTTAAATTGGTTATATTGTTGATTATTGTATTTATGGTTTTGATTGTTTAAATGTTTAATGTTTTGATTTGTATTGAAACTTATGTATTGACGACATGTGTTGTTGACCTCTTGGCCAGGTCACCCTTGTAAAAGAGATCATGATCTCAATGGGTTTTTTACCTGGTTAAATAAAGCTGGTTAAATAAAGAGAAGAGTGATGTACATGCATAGTCAAATTCCTCATGTGTCCAACACACCTGGCCAATAAAGCAGATTCTGATTCTGATCGATCTGTTGCTATTGAGAAGTAGTGAGAAATTCAAGGACTGTGGCCACAACAAAGGCTTGGTCACCCCAGTGTCTGCACCTGGACCATAGAACTTCTAAGTGGAGCGGATTTACTGACAGCCTGTATATCGTATCTACATGCTTGCACATTTCTAAACCTTTACATGCAAAGCAGTACAACTGGTTTGCTTTGCTGCATTAATGAGACACATTTGACTTGCTACCTGTTGGATAATAAATGTGAACACAAAGGTTTAGAAAAGTCATGTGCTGCTGTTTATCTCAGGGGTCTTAGGGGCATTTTACAGGCATCACCTGATAAAATGTGTCAATTTGTTCACATAAAGGCCAGGCCCCTGGGCCAGATAGATCAGGGCCATCTCTGCTCTCCACCATTGTCCTGTGTTTGGCCTCTTTAAAATTCTGTTGCTCACTTTGCCTGTGTGTAATAATAACATCAAACTGCCTGCCCTCTCTGATCTCCATCTTCAGCAGAACCATGGCAGAATAATAATGAAATAACTGACATCAGGTGTAAGCTAATAGAAAACAAAAAGTTGGGAAATTTAAAAAATATTTTTACTTACATTTTTTTTATTGTGATTTGAGTTCCTACATGACCTCATGGCTCCATATGCTGATTGTACTGGTATCACCTATACTGTCAGGTGACATCTCCCACACTGTCACATCAAACATCAAGAGTGGTGGCAGTGCTCAAACGTTTTGACTGGGTAGAAACAAAGCAGGACACCCTTTCTTCCCACTGTATCCCTTGGCTTGAGAAAATAAAATTTCTGTAAGTTCTTGTGAGGGCACAGGGCTGCCAGAGTTGCATTTGACAAATCTCTCACCATACAAGCTTGAACCAGCTCCTTCTGCAAACCCTCCCCTCAACCTCGCCGAAATGCATCAACTAGGAGCCAGACTTTTGACAGAATCACCTCTCCACAGTGCAGTGACTGAGGGGACAGTTGAATTTTGCTGCATGAGCACTCACAATTACATAGACACAGTTTAACGGAGGACCTCACAGGTCAGTTGTCCATCCAAATGTTCACTGCTGATGATTATATCTAATTTTTCTGAAAAGTACCAGGAAAAAGGTGGGGGGAAATACATTGTTTGTTTTGTGTGTGTTTTTTTACTGTTATAAGCTGGGATTATACCATAGCTCTCAAACCGCAACAGTCACAGCTCAGGGCTTCAAGACACAGAAGTCTTCATTTTAATGCAAATCTGGTTGGCTGGAGCTATTTCACATACTTGTTAGACAGCAATGCCAGTCAAGACCCAGTCAGGTTGTGATGCATTAATTAACCGTGGCTAATGTGGAAATGCTGATTAAATTGAAGTGATTAGTTTTAATTGAACAGTTCTATTAAAATATAAGGCCCTTTACACTTTAGTGATCAAATACTGACATTTAAATACACACTTAAAATATTACGTTTGATTGAAGCAGTGGCTCAGACAGGAACAGTTCAGGACAAACTCCTGAAAAGTGACCCATCCTTCTGTATTCGCCCTGTGGGAGGTGGTGCCCTCCCATTGGCCACTGAGCCACACCAGTTAATTAATACCACTCAAGTGTGTCAAGAGGAGGGATGAAAAATTGCTGCTTAGTGTTGTCACACCACAGCCTGCAAGGCGTGACGCAGGGAGATGCTGGAAGAATAACAATGAATTCAATTTAAACTAACATAAGAATTTTTTGGAATTTCAAAACAGTATATTGAAGCATAACAGAAGCACAGCCTATTACAACAAAACACAAATGGCAGCTCTGTTTGTGCATGTAGTCTTGCAATCGTAAACAGAATAGTAAACAGTCAAGCAGGAGGGTCATTACAGCAGAAATAATGGTTGATCTTTTTTTTTAACCCTTAAACTCAGAGCGTGTGGTGTGGCTGACATAAAGTGGTTTGGATTCCTGAAGAACAGCAGTGACCATTACAAGAGCAAACATGCTTAAGAACATCAGAGTGATTGAGAGCGGCTTCCAGTTGGTGTCTGCGAGCTGTCATGTTACCTTCATCTGTCTTCAAGCCCGGGCTCGATTTCAGTGACACTAAATAATTACACACTCATCCCACACAGCCGCAAGACTCAAAATAATCTGTCTCATTACAAATTCATGTGACCATAGACAGCCAATAAAATCATTCATATTCTTTTATTATAATTAATTTTTTTACAAAAATATTTTACATTACAAAACACAGCTTGAAATATACACAGTCCATTTGGTTTTGCAGAAACCATGGAACTCAAATATCTGTGTCTATATTTAAACTGTAGGTAAATATATCTGCAAGAATAAATCTGCTGGCTGTCACCAGCAGGAGATTGGACTGATAAACAAAAGGCTCTGTGAACTATAGTCAGATCAAAACAATATGGAATCACAACCTATCCATATTTATTACCAAAAACACAACAAAACCAATACTGATTCTGTTAATGACAGGGAATGAGTCTGTACTGGGGGTGAAAAAGATGAATTCACTGAGATGCATGTTCCTCAAATAGCATGAGAGTACAGATTTAAGCAAGGATCATGACATTAAACAACATTAAGAAAGTCTGGGATTTTAACTTTCTAACAGGAAATCATTCATCTCTCTTCCTATATCCCTGCTCGCCCTTTGCTTCGTGAAGCTGTGTTGGATGTTATTCACCTTTCTACCCGTTTGCAGCTCTAAATGTCATTCATTTACCTGTCGACATCCCAGCATGGCATTCATGTGTCTTACTGTCAGCATTCCATGGAGCCATTTATCTGCAAATCTAACTATCTGTCTACACTACATTCCAGGATACTTCTCATCTATCTGCCTTGATACATGCCAGGGTGTCAGTCACCTGTCTAACTATAGTATCTATATTCCCCAGTGCCATTATTTGCCCTGGGTGGAGCCTTTCAGGTGACATTTCCTCTCAGACTCAGAATTAAAATTCTGTTTCATTCTTTAGGATTTGTGCACCTAAACGCCAACCAAGACCACAAGTTTAACCTCATCAGGCATAATTTAAAACAACAGTTCAGCATTTGGGGGAATACACTTATTCTTGACAAAAGTGAGATGAAACAACACCCCAGCCAGAGGCTAGTTAACTTAGCATTGCATAAAGACAAGAAGCAGGGAGAAACAGTTCTGTGCAAAGGTAACAAAATCTGCCTACCACCACATAATCACCTGTAAAACCACGCTGTTTAATTCAATTCAGTTGTATTTATATAGTGCCAAATCACAGCAAAAGTCATCTCAAGGCACTTTACATAGTAAGGTCAACACCTTACAGTATTATAGTGAAAAACCCAGCAAATCCCCATGAGCAAGCATGAGCAAGTGGGAAGACAGAACACTCTGTAACACAAGGAACCTGCAACAGAACCAGGATCAAGGTGGGGGGGCTGTCTGCTGTCTGAGTGGATAGAGGAGAGGGGAAAACAAGAGTATCAATAAACAACAAACAAACACTGGACAGGTTAGTGGGGCCCAGTGATCCAAATCCTAAAGATTCTGGAGCCAGAGATACCTGCAGAAAGGTACAGGGAGAGAGAGAAAGCGAGAGAGAAAGAGAGAGAGAGAGAGAGAGAGAGCACAAACTACAGGCAAAAGGAGACACACAGTTAGTGACATGAACTGGTAGCATATAAATGCATGGAAACTCTAGGAACTGTAAGTAAACCTGCACTCAGAGTGAAGAGTCCTACTTGGATAATATGATAGTATGAGGTCTTTAAGAGCTTGATCATTAAAAACTTTGTATGCTAGGAGAAGGATTTTAAATTTTACTCTGGATTTTACATGGAGCCAGTGGAGAGAAGCTAACATGGGAGAAATATGATCTGTCTTGTCAGATCCTGTCAGGATTCTCACTGCAGGATTTTGGAGGCTTTTTAGGGAGTTACTGGGACATCCTGATAGTAAAGAATTACAATAGTCCAACCTAGAAGTAACAAACAAAATAAAGTAACTACTGTAGTTTTTCAGCATCACTTTGAGACAAGATGCTCCTAATTTTGGCAATACCACAGCTCCAGTTTATGCATGGATTAAACAAACAAGTAAAAACATGATTACTATACAGCACTCAGAGAGTGCAAACCTCCGCCAAGGCAGGTCAGTTCCCCCATAATGCAGTTTAAAAAAGAATTTCTAGACTGGAATAATGATCTGGAGCACCACAATGCTGTAATGGATTGTTCAGTGAGCCATACTTTACCACTCCAAACATTTCATTAAAATCCATTGATTACTTTTTGAGTTATGCTGTGAACCAACCAGAGAACAGCAGTAAAAAATAACCTTCTTGGCAGAGGTAATTAGTGAGCTTTACAAATGCTGGTAGGTGGACTTTGCTGTTAATGTAACTTCAGACAAGCCAAGGCTAACTGTTTCCCCTTGTTTCCTGTCTTCATGCTAAACTAAACTAAACAGCTGTCGCTTTGTATTTGGTGCACAAACATGAGCGCGTCAAACTTTCAGCAAGAAAGAATTTTCCCAAAAATGTTAAACTATGCCTTTATGGTGAATGAGTATATGAGCACATCCCAGCATGCCATTCATTATTAATGTAAACTTCTTATACATGAAAACAATAATCCTCATTTGTGCTGTTGAATTTTTTTTTGATCAGCCTCACATGTCAGTTAGCTTTTCTTACATAGACAGTTTAGTCATTCAAGAAAAAGCTAAAAAATAGAGATCGTGGATCGCATTTGTAATTCAATCTGTAAAGAACAGTACTAGCATTGTCACTGTAAATGCATTGGATTGACAGCTACTAGGTAAACCCTAGTATAATAATATGATAATAATAATATGCACTACCCATACTGCAAGGCAATTAAGATAACCATAAAATGGCATGTGAAATAAATAACAGCAAATTAATAGCAAAACATAGCAATTTTTATTTATATGAACTACATTTTCCAGTTCGGTGTCCACTGGCCTTCCACTAATGAGTCTCTCTTTTGCACCCAGTTTAAAAACATTGCCCTTTGCTTTGGCATCATGACAGTTCAGTGCAGAGGGCCAGAGACAGTGTCCAGAGAGGTGGCAGCAGCCAGATGGGAGATGGGGTGGGGCGAGTGCCTAAAGGTGAGGCGGTGTCAGAGGTACAGGAGCACACCTCGTATCCATTCTCTGCATGGTCTGGGCGATGATGCACATTGATTCTTGTCTCTGTGCTTTTGGGCTCAGTGTCTGGAGAGTCCGACTGCATTTCGGAACACAGTAGCCAGTCTTTTGCGATGAGGCGAGGGTACCCTGCCTCCACCTCCATGTCACTGCCTGGCACTCGCCAGTACTCCTTCTCCTTAAAGAAATAGGACGAGCCTTCACAAGGAAAGATATGTGAGAGGGTTGGTATTAGTCTATGCTGTGAGATAGAGACAGCAAATAACAAAACAGCATGAAGAAAACAATATAATTCAATCCCAAACCTCACACTAGGTGGAGGGATGTCTTAGCCCTTAAGGCAGACAAAGGTACACCAGTGATGCAAAGTAAGTATTAAAATACAGCAAACAGAAACATAATAGCAGGATTATTGAAAAAGGAAAATGTATAACTAACATCAGTGAGGCTCTTTTGCTCCTTCCTTTTTCTCCCCCTCCAGCACCGTTCTCACTGAGCCATTTCTCTCTCCATCTCATCATCTTTCTCATCCATCTCTTAAACCTGTGATTTCTCTATGGCTTCTGTCTCCTTAGTACTCTTCTCATTCAGTGTTCACCATGAGCTGTCACCGCACCCTCTTCACTTCTCCCTCCTCGCTCTATTTCACTATTTTCTCCTTATCCTAGGCTTGTAGCAGCAGCCTAAAGGCAGATAAAGGCTTTGATGAGGCTCCAAATTCACAGGCCCATAGGTGTGCATATGTGAATGTGTGTATTTTGGGTTATATACAGTATAGTACATGCATGTCTTTCCACATAATTGTGGCTTTTGTTGGTATTGTCCTCTCTTTCGCATTTGGCTGCTACCCACACATCAAACAACCGAGAGCAGGACCCATGGAGCTGGCAAAAGCTTAGACACAACATAGACCTCTAAAACACCTGACAGGCAAAAAAAGAGCCTTAACACAATCAGGTGGGAGTTGCTGCAAGGCAGAGAGGTGAGCTGGCTTGTTCCCGCTGAGAGCAGCCTGTGCCAGGTTTCAACATCTACATAAAGTGCTAAGCTTAATCTGAACAGCCAAATGGTGGAAACGTTCCTTAAAGGGGGATTTCATTGGTAAAGGCTGCCAAAACAATGCAAGTTCAAGTGAACACTATGAAGCCCTAAGAAAAAGCCTGCCCTCGGTAATTGACCATAACTGCTTAGGAACAGGAAACAACCTTTCTCTAGAACCTGTGGACCAACTCCAGATCTGAAGCTCTTGTCTAGTCGATGGAAATGGCAAGAACATGCTAATATAAGTGAATTAAAAACATAAGATAAGAAAAGATGTGGCTCAGGAGGTAGAGTGGTCATTCCCCAACCAGAAGGTCAGTGGTTTTGATTCCCGTTTTCCCCAGTCCATGCGTCCATGGGCAAGACACTGAACCCTAAGTTGTTCCCGATGGCCAGGTCAGCACCTTGGAGGGACAGCACTGCCATCAGTCTGTGTGTGTGTGTGTGTGTGTGTGTGTGAGTGTGTGAGTTAGCGTTGCAGATGGCTGCCTCATTTGTGTACCAGAGAGGAATTCCTTGTGTGTAACATACTTGGACAATAAAAGTAATTATCATAATCATATCTCTTTTTGATACTTTCAGTAGGCTAACATATACATTTTTATTGCCTCAGAATATTTTGTTACAAAATGCATTTGCGAGAATGTGTCCAGTATGACATGTCATTACAGAGCAGTTTAGTTTAGTTTGATGCACATTCTTTGCTTGGATTATTACAAAAACCATGCAAGACAGGATTACATCCAAGCATGACAACTACTGTTATCTTCCAGCGCTATGTTGACTGGCAGTAAGCAAAGCATGTGTGTTTGAGCCTCGGTTTAACAGTTTAACAGTGCAACTAATATTGGCATTCAGCTGGGAAAAATAGGATTACACTGGTTTTATAAAGAACAAGTAAAATATGGATTTAGTTATTGACTTATGCAAGTTTTTGACATGCAAGGAGTACACATAAAGCCTTTGGCCTGTTAGAAGTACATTGTTTCATATTTTATGACTCAGTAATTCTGACATTGTCCTTCATACTCCTCTTATACTGCGCAGATTTTAAGGTTCTCAGCTTCAACCTCTTTAGTCAGGTAGAGAAAACCTCTTTGAGCTTATTATTGTAATTAACTTTTCAAGTTCCATTTGTGAGAGAACTATCAAAACAAATCAGCTGCAGATAAAACTGTACATGTTATGTACTTTATTACAGTAGAGTACAGGAAAAACTCTTCAAATGTATCAAACTACAGTATTAACATTCAACTATTCGGTGAACTTCTGCAGTTTGTACACCCCATTAGGACACAGTTTAACATTCAACTGCTTGTGTAGAACTGTGTTCATATAGTATAGTTCTAAGTGGTAGATTTTGATTAATGTTTCTTATTAATCCAAGTCATTTCCCAGTACACACTAACACTGACTCCTCATAATGGCTAATGTCATGCTAATGCTACATGATTACACAGGGCCAGCTGTGAGCTCACACAGACACTATGTGGTGGTTTTATCAAAGCTATGAGACATTTTATAGGAGGATATTTCACAAGCACAGATGTACAAAGTGTGTAACGATTACTGACATGGCAGATTCAGGCACAACGTGCAATGATGATCACATTAATCCGCATCTTTCTATAAAGCTATCCACATTTCAGAGAACAAAGAAGAGTTAAATGGGAAGGGGAAGTGAGAAGAGGGTTTTAAAGGGAGGTGCAGGAGAGTGACAGGAAGGGTAGAGCACATATGCATCATTACACACACTAATTGAAAAATATAAACTAAATATGCATTTGAGCTAACATATTATATTGGTGTAACAATTTTTCATTTAAACTGCTGTGTTTAAATATCACCTTGGGCTTTTTTTTAATGAATGGTCCAATTTATATTGACAAAACTATTTCACACTGTTGGACATCATAGTAAATGTCAGATGGTACTCTGACTTGTACATGGAGGCAATTACAAAAGCCATATCATAAATATAAGGCAACCAACCAACAAAAACAACAACAACAGAATAATTCTGCTCTTGTGAATGTTCCTATTATCTTGATTGTTGTATCAACACTCAGGAATAGTCTATGAATGTTTCTTGTAGGAGATTAAACTGCTTCTTTTCAACCATCTCAGCTTGTTAATTAGAAAGATTCAACAGAGGCAGGTGAAACATGTCTCACAGCTCTGAGACCTGTTATTAATATCTTGCTGATCTGCTCTGCTACACAGAGTTGTCTATAGAACGTATCCATGTGGATCCACACAGTATTGCAAATGTAATACTTGTCTCAAACTGTGTCTAACAAAACTAACATAGCATTATTATATTTCTATTTGTTATAGAAGGTTTGTGCATACATGATCAGAGACAACCTGGGAGCCTCATGCATAGCATAGCTGCTGCAATGTGAATGCCTTAGCCGATGGCAGCACAGTGAGGAGAAATGTTCGGATGAAAGAACAGCTAAATCAGTGATTTGAAATACTAATAATTATAAATAATAAATTGAAAGGTGCCTGTGAAATGTGACTTGCTGGTGTTATGTGGCCTTTTATCAAGTGCACTGCATGAATCACAAAACTAAATTGTGGCTAGCACGCTGACAAATTATACCAATAAAATCATGTTGCATCAACCAAACAAACATACAAACGGAGAGTAACACAAGTAGTCGGGTAAAGAATCACCACAAATGTGTACTGTATCAAGTTAAAATGTCTGTTTTGCAGCCGTTTAAAAATTCTAGTTGGCCGCATTTCAAAAATATCATCAAAAATTGATCAACAAATTCATTTCTACATGTGGATGGTAAATGCAAATGGTAAGCATGAATTGGGGAAAACACTTACAGAGAAACAAACAAATCTTAAAAGCAACATGATCTAATTTTGGCCCATGGGAGCAGCCAAAAAAGCAAAAAAAGTAACTTTTACATAAATAAATAATAAATTGATATGATATGATTAACATAGCAAATGGTTGCCTATTCACACATCCAGCCAACACAAAGAAAAAGACCCAACCAGCATGTAGATGTGAACCAAGAAAGACAAGTAAAGCTAAACTAACAGCAAACATAAACACAAAGTTACTTGTCTGAATAGCTCAAATTACTACCTATGTGCATATTTGCATCTTTTGGCCAATGCAGTGTGGTGTATGTGGTGTGTGTACTGGTGTGTGTATGAGAGAGACAGCCACTGTAGGCATTGTAGAGCTGGCTGAGGAGGGTGATAGCTGCAGGGAAGTAACTGAAGCTAAGGACTGATGCACTCAAGCTGTACATTGAATGGCCAGCCCAGTTGGAGTAACACTGGCAGTTTCTTTTATTGCCTTTTATCTTGCTCTGGTGCCATTTAGGTCTGTTACAGAAGAAGACAGCTGCGAGCTGAGTGACTGCTCAACTGTTCAAATGACAAACTTCAGTTTCATCTTGGAGCAGGCAGAGTGGTAACAGAGGATGGATCAGTGGAACAGGATCAGTACCGACTATGAGACACTGATCGCACTGAGGATAATGCACAAGGAGGATAATGCACAAGGAGGATTCTCTGTTGAATTAGATGAGCTATCCTGTCATGCCATCTCCCCATGAATCTGACTGACTGCTGAGCTCACAGTGGCAGCATGGATTAATAAGGGGGAGGCCAGCTTGTGGATTCATAACTCTCAACATGGCTCGCCGCTGTGTTTGCAGTGTAAAGGTCAAGGCTGTTGTTGGCGAGCTGAGATTTCAGTCTTACAACCTTTTTCTGGTAGACTGACTCAGTGTATGTAATCTAAAAAGTTTGTTGTCTGGAAACTTGGGCAGCTTGCATTCAAAATGCTCCTAAAGGCAAACATACTGCTGTGTGTTTAACATGTTTTTTCACTGAAAATATGTTGATGAATGATGAATTTGTTAGAGGAAGTGAAATTAAAAAAAGCTATGAAGGGATTATTTTTATGGCTACTCACCATCAGACCACCTCATGGCATCATCTAGGTGTGGTGGCAGCCCCTTCCAAAGCGCACTGTCTTTAGGGTAGCCCAAGTCCATACGTCTCAGGTGGTCATCATAGCGCCAGTAGCGGTTGTCCTTGAAGAAGTAGGTTTTGTCATTGTGTAGCCAAACAAAGGCTGCATCCACTCCTTCCAAAGGCAGGCCAAAGTCACTGATTGGACGAGGGTAACCTTCTTCAACGTTATTGTCTTTAAATACCCAGTACTTTAGACCTGAGGCAGGAAACACAGACATAACAATTAAAGAGACCTTTATAGGCAAATCCACAGTGGCAAATACAAAAAGGTTGCTAGGAGAAACCTTAAATCAGACAAGAGATATTTACCTTTAAAAAAGACTATTTTATGATCCCCGGGTCTCTCATACACAGCATCCACACTGTCCAGATTGGGTGGAAGGCCTCTCCAGAAACGATGAATCTGAGCCGGACGAAGAGATACCAGGTGTTTCTCTCGAGTTAGTCTCCAGAAGTACTTACCTATGAGAAACAGAAACAGGTTAATACAAGAAGAGCCATGTATAGTAGTTAATAACACACATCATGTATTGTTTTGTATTTCCATGTAAATGATTTTATTAAACATGCTTTGACTAATGAAAGCTCTCTTTGTAAATAAACAAGGCAAACTGACTAATGAGCCAAAATGATCAATTTCAAGTTCAGCAGATAATATGGACACTATAAGAACCTTTTGTTTAGACTGCAGAAGCAGTGATGGTGTGTGAGCCTGTGATATGAGCCCTGGGAACCACTTCTGTTTCTATTGATCACTAGAGCCGCCACAGTGTCCTGTCCCTACCCCCTGTCCCTCACTCTTCCAGTTGATCTCTTCTCCATTCACCTCTTTCTTTCTGTTCTTACTCACTGTTTCTCTTGTTCACTTTTAGGCTTGAATACCTTTGAAAAAGAAGGCCTCCCCTCGTATTTGGGCCACAGCATCAAAGTGACTGGTGCATCTGTCTGGGGCATCTCGTGCCAGCCTAAGAGAGGAAAGGAACATAAACAGCCTCACTTGTTGTAAGGTATGCTGATCACGAAAAAGGATCCAATCCAGTTAAAGCCATTTGCATACAAAAATAACCAAGCGCCTACTGAGAGAGTCTGAATATGTGGATGCATATGCATGTGTTTCATTCAATTAAATAAGCTAAACATTATGTGAAATGCTATCACACTGACACGATAAGGTCCCCCATTGCATTTATCCACAGGACTAATAAGTGATTTAAAGCATTGACGTGGTTGGCCTGCCAATGATGAAGCCATTAGCACCACAGGGCTGCCACTGTGAGTGGGAGGCTGCCAGCCCTTGTATTATAAACAAAGCTCTCCATTCAGAGCCCTATTAACACAACACTGCAGCCTAGCGGTCAATATTTTTGATCCTTGTCAATAAGCCAGCTTTTCAATGCATCATGTCCTGATGGTGGTGGTGGTGAACAAATGAGTAATGTGTTCAGTGAAAGGCTAATACCACTGAGGGAAAGTGGGTTTCATATGTGCTTACTTTAGAACTCCTAGCCTTTGAATGTTAGCATGATTGTATGTGAGGAGGTCAGCTAGTGTTGGCCACTGTTAACAGTACACTTTGAAGCACAGGTTGATCACTCCCTAAGCGAGCTACCCTCTGTTGATCCTGTTAATCAGTATAGTTAACTCACCTGCAAAGCAACTAGTCTTTGCTTATGTTTGTTAAAATATCACAACCTTTAAGACCAGCACTATGGCAAGTTGACAAAAATATAAAGCTGTTGTTGTTTAGAGCATATATAATCAAACAAATGCTGCATGGGATAGGAATGGAATGACGGTGCATTGATGGACACCCTACAAATGTTCAAACATATGCTGTAGCCCCTGGAAATATCAACATAATACTAATAAGCCTAATTTTTGATGGCTCCTGTGAAATAAGGGTCACGTGAAATAATAAACAAAAGATTCCTGAAGCCAGGTCATCACTCAGAGTTCACTCATTGTTCATATGCTATAGGGCCTAAGTGACATGGTGCACGGCTGTGTATATAATTTTTGGTCCACAGTGACAGGTTTGTAATGACACTGTGTATTGATATTCATGATCCTCAGATGACTTGCCTCTACTTCATCATTCTGGTAGTGCCAATTCAGTGATTTCATGATGTATGCCAATGTGGGATGCTTATATAAGTCAACTCAAGTTGTACTTCTGTAAATGTCATAGGGTACGTGGAAACGTAGTACCTCAGCTTATTTAATAAAATTAAAGAAGTGACTTGGCATGATTTGATTTGAGTTTCAGGGAAACCAAAAGCAAGTGAACAGATAAGTGAAAACAGTTGAAAGTAACAAAGGTTCAAATTAAAGGTAAAATAGCTACTGTAAAATTAAGACAGACAGTTGAAACAAATGACATTAGTAGGAATACATAGTTGAAATATTTTGCTTAAAGTTATGAAGATATGATTGAAAATTTTCAATTCAAATTAAAAAATTCTAATGAACACAATGAAATGAATTCAAATTAACACATTTAACACTGTTTAACAGACAGACATTTATTACAGCTTCTGCCCTAACATCTTTAACAGGGCAGTGGACAGAGATACCTGAGGGGAAAAATGAACCATGGGTGTGTGTGTGTGTGTGTGTGTGTTTGAGAGGACCAGTAAACATGACTAGGGTAAAACATCATCAATACAGAGGTCAAAATGGATCATTTCATGTGTTTGATAACCAGAATAGTTTAAGGTCTTTGTGTTATGCAAAAATGACATCACCTCTACTACTTACAGGAGAGTTGATCTGTTTTCAGGAAGGTCCAGCAGGACAGGAGGTTCAGCTGTCGGGGAGGGGTTGCCTGGTCGATTGGTGTGGGACACCGAGTCTCTGACACCTGGGGAATGAACAAACAATAGAAAAAGAAAATGAATAGTGTAATTAATGTGTCTAATTTGAGCTTCTTAGATGTGCAGATTTGCTGTCTTTGGGTTTTGGACAGTTGGTCAGACAAAAATGAATAATTTGAATAATTTTCTAAATTTCTTTTAACTTATTAAACTGTTAGTCGATTACTTCAAATCCTCCTCTTTTGCATGATTATATGCATTTATTCTAATGTACCACAGTGTAACATGGTAAAGTCTGCACCAGTATGAAATACTCAGGTTATGTCTTAGTGCTGTTCTTTTGTAATTCAATTCAGCTCCCTTGCAACAGCAGCTTGCTGTACATCACCATTTGTCTCTCCCCTGCACACAGCTACTCACTCTATCAGGTAATGGTGTGATAAGATCATATACCATAAAGACGTCCAGTTGACTCCATCCATGTTTTCATTAACCAATAACCTTGCTCTCTCTCTGTCCCACACAAACAAAGAGGAGTGTTTCCTCATACCGTAGAGCTGCCAGACGCGGACCTTGTCTTCATAGGGTAGGTCGTACTTCAGAGGGTCTCCTACAGGACCCTGGTAGTATGGTCTCATGATGGACTCGATGGCTGAGGTGTGAACCAGCCCGATGGCATGACCGAACTCATGAACTGCGACCGCAAACAGATCCATCCCATGTGAGTCTGAAGAAGGCAAATGAGAAAGACATCATCCTGCTCATTGTGTCTTTCTCTGTTTGAATCTGATTATTTTCACCCAAACTGAAACATAACCAGGCACATAGATTATCAATTGCCTTTCACAAGGTACTTATATGTTTGTGTTTTGTATACATTTTCCTGTTTTGCTGCATGTAAGTGTGGCATTAGTCAGTATCTACTACTAGCAATGTACTAGTTTATTATAAAAACATTAAATAGATAATTATTTTGTATCAAATTTTTGTATTTGTATGTTTTTTAAGTGTTCATATAAATACACACAAACATATACTTGAATGGAACTTGGAAATGCAATACAACAGAAAGACATACACCCTGCACTTCTAAAAACTGCAAATTCTCCTCATCCTTTAACCTGGGGTTATTTAGGAAAGGAGTAATTTCAATCAAAGAAACAGCTATAGAATGCTGCACACAGCATATTGTCCTCCCCCTACAATCACTGCTGTCCAGCATGGCAGTAAATTACAGAACGAGAAAACTGCACACTCAAAATCTTGGAAACAGTTCCTCTTCCCTCACTCTGAACATTTCAAAATTAACCAGCACTCTTTTGGGGCAAGAAGAGGAAACAACAAGGTTTTCGCTCTGAGAACACAGCACACCATTATCAGCTTTTCTTTTCTCTTTTAATCATCCAATTCTTTCAGTTTCACTCAACATTACTACCTCAGCTTCAGCTTTAACAGAGACTTTGCTGCTTAAAGTTTGTGACTTTTGTAGAACCAACACAAATCCTGTTTGTATGTTTATCCCTTTTGAACTCTATAGGTTGTATGTTAAGAGGCATGACAGGCAGCTCTGGTGGCTTTGAGAGCTGTTAGGTGTGTGGTGTAGTGAGATAACTATGGTAATACTATCTCAGCCCTTGGGCTGCCAATCAAAACCTGAGTGCAGAAAAACACCTACAGAGGCTGCAGGCTAATAAAGCACCCTTCCCCCTTCTCAATGGTTCACAAAAAAAGCCCCTGTCTGGCTCTGCTAAGCAAGACAAAACCTGGGGCTTAGAGATTTAGCTTTGCAAAAGCATGAGTGCTAGTGTGTCAAGCCAAGCTAGCTTAGAGTTCCTTGATGGATAGGCTCAAGTCTGCATTCTGGTATCCTTATGTTGGCCTCGACTTGGGAACATCTCAGTGCTGTGCTCTGTCAAATGACAAAGGACAGCTGAAGAGGAGCATTTGTGCTGCAACACCTGGGATATTAGGGAGCCAAATGTCAGCTGTAATCTACAAGAGCACATGGTGCAGAGAGGAAAAGTGAATAAGAGAAGGGATCGATGGGGATAGATGAGGGATTCAGAACAAAGAAAGCACCATGTCATCATATTTACAGTCCATCTAAGGTTGACAAAAAAAAGAAATCCTAGTCCCAGTGAGACAAAGTCTGAAGAGCTATGAGATTTTGGTTGATGAGTGAGATTCATTTAGACATCCTTGTCAAAAAGACAGCAGGAAAGAAAAAGATAAACAGACAGAACCAAAACAATAAAGGACATGAGAGGTAACGTACAGTATATCTAACAAATTATTTTCAGATATTGTATTAAAATATCTTATTACTTTAATGCACAGTAAATACATTATGCTACACACATTGCCTGCAACATTTTTGTGGGAAAGGTGAATAATTTAACAGATAAAACAAAGATTAATATGAGTAAAGCTAAAAAGTCATGGCAGAGTCAAGCATTGTGCACTCACTATTTTGCAGTGACATTATATAGTAGCTCCACCTAATAGTTCATATTTTAGAATTCATTAAACCTATGACAAACATTGAAGAGTTTCATATAGTGCTAGTGGGCAGCAAAGTGGTACAATACTTTGCACTGTCACCTCAATGCAAGAAGTTTCTGGGTTTGAACCTCACGACCAATCGGGACTTTTCTCTTTGGAGTTTGCATGCTCTCCCCTTGCCCAGATAGGTTGTGTCCAGCTACTGCTGCTTCCTCCCCTACTCCAAAGACACGCACTTGAAGTTTAGTGGTGACTCTAAATTGTATGTTGGTGTGAATGTGAGTATGAGTGGTTGTCTATCTCTACTGTATGTGTTAGCCCTATGATAGACTGGCAATCTGTCCAGTGTGTACCCCAACTCTCACCCAGTGTCAGCAGGGACTGGCTCTAGCCAGAGAGTGAGGACACCATATTGATTGCTGAATCCTTTGAAATATGCGAAAAAAGTAAAATCAGACTTCTGACCTTGGAAATATTTAACAAAATATATTTAACCTTATTAAGGTCTCCAAGAAGTGAATTTAGAATCAAAGTTATATTCTTTAAATTCCTTAAATATGTATTGGGCAGGGAATTTTAGAATTGACAAATAAACTTGTTGGTGTTCTCTGGTAGACAAATTGTGTAATGATAACATTCGAAGCTTGATCCAATCACATATTTTAATCTTGTCTAATTTCTGTACCTATCAACTGACATTTAGGTAGATTACTGGGCTGTAACAACCCACATGCCAATGTTTTAGCCAGGCTTTGTTATTCTATGCAATTTCCCCTTTTCAACTGATCTCTGTGTTTGGAGGTAACTTCTCTCTCTGTGATACTGGCCTGCTCGAGGCAAAGTGGATAAAAAGAGCTATTATGTCACGCTAAAAATTAATTGAGAGGCATGAAAGTCTGCATCAGCTCCTTTGGTGAACATTTAGTGTGTTAAATTAGGCAAGTTAGGAGATTCAGAAAATGAACCCTGAAGCTACTGAGCAAGCTGGATGCCTGCTAACCGGAGATGTGGTACTGTTACATCATGGGCCCAAATTTAATTAATGCATTTTCAGTTTGTAATAATGAGCAACAATTAACATACAGGCACATTTGGCTCAAAACAATCAATGGGTAAACACAGAGCAATAAGAAATGACGCAGCATGTTTTCTTGATGGCCAGAGTCTGGAAACATGCCTGTAAGGTACAATATATTTTGATTAAAGGAAGAACTACAGCCAACACATAATGAAGACAAAAAAACAGTTTTATAAATGTTTAAAATTCAGTATTAATCAGTTGGTCCAGAATTATAAATGAAATCAAAATTTAACTAAATGATCTACATAAAAAAAAATTTGTTTGCAACATCTTTATGCATCTTTTTAAAGCAGCTATGATGTGACTACTTGGTTGTGAAAGTGTCCCTATCAGTTTCCTAGAGCTTTTAAGCATTTTCACCTTTTTGATTCAGTTTTATGATCCACAACTTTGTTATTTAGCTTCAGTCTGACCGTTCTCATCTATACTATCCTTCAGTTCTAAAAACCCACATTCTACCCAGCACCAAAAGGCAGAGAGAAAGTTAGTGTTGGCTAGTGAACAAAGTGGAGCTTTTAGCAGCTAAGCACTTAAACGTTGCTCTCCAATAAAAGAACTAAACCTCACTCAAAAGGTGCTGCATCAAATTGGTCACTTATTGCTTTCCAACAGTGCATTTTTATTTTTAAACCTGTGAAATGGCTGGTATAACATCTGAATATCACATTGCTTTAGAGTTACACAGCTAACTGGTTAGCTATTATGTTTTTCAGTAAATTAAAAATGGAAGACTTGAAATTTTCTAATTAGTAAGGACCTTGATGGCATATAGGTACGTCCCAAATTACTATAAAAGTATTTGAATAGGTGGTTTCCAACTACAGTAATAAAAGAGAAATGGCAAGGGCACAGTTCAAACAGTCAAGGAAAGGATCAATACCTTTTAATGACTTTAATGGTGTAGAAATAATGTTGTCTCTACAATACTAGAATAAAAAAACAAACACTAACTCTGTACTGGCATTGATTGTCCAGAAGAAACAGAAGGCTTTAGTGCCTTTACAGAATATAGCCAAAAAGAAAGGCACATCCCTGCTTTAAGAATGAACAAAGTTTGATGCATTTTATCTGATGTACATCCGACCTTTCATCACGATGAGTGAAAGAAACAACCTTGAAAGCAGTACCATCTAAGAAGATAGGATGATTCATATCCAGCATCTTTTCACTCGTGCTCACAGTGAAAGCTGTGTTTTTACCGCTGTCCTCCATCAGGCTGTCACCACTGATGAGTAATTCATAACAAAAAACATCATTTTTTGATTAAGTTTTTTTTTTTTGTCTGTTTAAATCAACATTTATGTTAAATATGATGTTGTTTGAAGAGAGAAATAGGTTGGGGTCATTAGGACACCTCTGACTTCACTGCCCTGCTCCCATTAACCAAACCCTCATCTATGCAGATGATGCTGTAAACTACTGCAGCTTAAGGCCATCATGTCCTGCCGCTGCTACAGCCTGCTGGGAGGTCTAATTGGAGCAGATTGAGCCGCCGTAGCATACGGTCCACAGCTTTAATGAAGCAAAAGCAAAGACTGGAAATTAACACAGGTCCTGGCTGCATCATACACTCACCAGATGGTCGAGTCAATGTCATCTACACCCCCGCTACAAGCTTTAAGCTCTCTCTCAGGGGAGTAGGACAATAGTGAGTGCTGGTAAACTAATCTTTCAGCCTAAGGTTTTTGTCACAATAATAATCTATCTTAGATCAAGTGATACTTGTGTTATTTGTTTACATATCCATCTTTTTTGTTGACATGCAAATTACAAAAATAAGTGCATAATCTGCATGAGCTATTACTAAGTGATACCTCACTTATTCCGATCCTTTATAGTCGGACTGGGCAATAAAATGATCTCAATAATTACCACAAAAAGAGACATCATCACACAACTTCAGTGATTTGGAAATGGTTTGGATTTCTAAAGCTGAATAAACAATAGAACAATATCCAATATGTCAACAACCTGTGCTGATGAAAACTGGAAAGGCAAAAGACCTTCTCCACCATTTGAAAGAGTAACGGTATCATCCACCATCCCAGTATACAAAAAGTCTGCCATCCAAACAACACTAAGCTTGCAAACAAGCCTTTTGTGGTAACATTAGTTCAAACCCCAGCAGCAGCCACCCATATAATAAGAGCTCAAAAACAAGCAGGGTCACAGTGATTGTAATTTCATATTTTATAGCAAAAGACATGATGCCAGTCAGAAGCGAGGTTTCAAGGGTGGTTGACTCTGGGTTTATAGATCGGAAACATTTTCAGCTTCATACAGAATACAGAGGAAAAGTGGAAGAAAAGCTTTACACACTTTGACACCACTACTGATGTTATAACCACAAAACAGAACCTTACATGAGCCTAATAGGCATAAAGATTATGCCATGTGGGTTGCAGAAAAAGCATCAAATTATTGTTTCAAAAATGAATGACAGTTTAGAGCCATAACAAAACCTTGTGATTTTTTTAAAGACAATACTAAACTCAGTATGCCTCTGGAAATTCAAACAAACAACAACAAAAAAAAACCTTGTGGAGTTTTTCTTGTAAAACAATGTTTACATTCAGTGTTACTCACCACAACACATACTTGAGGTCAAAAATAATGAATGTATTTCCATCTTCATTAATGCTATTAAAATATATATTTGGCTAATTAATGATATCCATCAATATGAAAAAATTGCGGTAATACTTTTGGCAATATTGCCCAACTTTACTTTATATAAAGGAAAAAGTTTGACATTTTGGGAAATACACTTATTAGTTTTCTAAAAGCTGAAAGTTAGCTTTGCTGTGTCCAAAGTAACAAAATCTGTGTTAAAATCTTAATTTGTAAAGGGCATGTTTTGATACCTTTGGTTAGAGATAGACTAGCTGTTTCAGTTTAGCCTTTGTGTTAAGCTGAGTCAGCCAGCTGCTGTGGTATCTTCATATTTAGTATACTTATGTGAGTGCTCAAAATGAGATGTAGAATAATTACTTTAAGTAAAAGAAACAATAGTGCAATGTAAAACAGATATTAAAGAAGTGCATGCAGTATTTGTCTCTGAACTGTGGTAGGGTGGAAACATGAAGTAGTAAAAATGTTTTGTTTTTTTACTAGAAAGACAGTTCTACACTAAACAGTGTGTCCACTCTGCAAATCTTTTGTCCAACTCACTCTTTCATCAGATGTCATTGGAGCAGCTTTGTACCGCTATAGTACCGCTTCAAAGTCTGATGGGGACATATTGCTCAGTTTTTTATTGCCATTAATCAAAGGAAATACATTGCTGTCAAGTAAAAATACTTTAATTGTGCTAAATACGGTGCTTTTCTTTCTTTTTCCAATCTTTTATTTATTAAGAAATTTAAAATACAATACTTGAGAAAACCTTACGGAATCCTTTAACAATCAAGTCGGATCAATAAGTCAACAGTAACATTTTATTTCTTCAATGGAAAACTATGGCTCATATCAATAAGTGGCATCTTATAGTTGATTGTTTATGTATGGTAGTTATGGAAATTAAAGGACGCCTTTTATGCCTGTATGAGTATGAGACAACAGTCGCCGCTGCTCTAGTCACTGCTCAGAGTCTGAAGCCACTGTCTGCTATAATTACAGTTCCATTGAATTACCTATTAATTATAGAATCTGAAAAGGGGTAGAAGCACAGTTGGCACCAACATATAGTGTTCTAGCTTTGAATGTGCAAGTCTTGGCAAGCATGGAAGTTTAAAACAGTTTTTCATTTTCTAAATGCTGAGCATTTAAATTTCATTTTATAGTTCGCTGTGAGTCACTTGGAAATGTTCCTGGTGAGTTAACATAATTACTAAACAGTAAAAGTCTTGGATATTAAAAAAAGTCAAGTTCCTCACCTGGTGATCTGAAGGTCCAGGCCTCGTCATCATCAAAGTGTGTATCCCCAGCTGTGAACCTCTCTCCGGGGAAAAATGCGTGCGCCACAGTGCCCCCCGGTCCGTCAAAAGGATAGCCATCATTGTGGTCGGCCTTTGTGAAGTCGATTTGAATGTCTGCATCACTTCCGGCCACCTCGTGGAAGTTAAGTGGCGCAATGTCACTCCAGACCTTCAAGGCGTAGTACATCAGTGCTCGAACAGTGTCCCTGCCCAGTAAGGCTGAATCCTTAGGGAACGTCCTCACTCTGTGAGAGGAAAGTGAGAAGACAGATACCTTAGCTCTGTTTGGTGACCTCTGTGCAACTGTATGGGACCAAGTTAAAAATAGCCTCTTTATGGCTGCCAGTAAAGATGACTCTTTCCATCAACAACACACACCTCACTCAGGCTTACTGACAGCCTTTGAATAGAAAACACATTCTTTCAAAGAACAACTTTCTCTGTTGTATTAAACAAAAACCAAGTCTAAAATACTGTATATGTTAGAACCATGTCAATGAGGCACATGACAGTAGCAGATGGGAAGTCTGACAATGTCAAACCTTCAGCTTTTAGGTATGTGCTTCAAAGAAATACTTTTACTTTGAAAATAACACTGACAGTTATTTTGCTCTCCACTAAGAGGGATAGAAATGCATTTATTTATCAGGTATAACACACATTCATTGCTATTAATATGATGGTGAAATCTGGCCAGAAGTTCGATTTTAATCTGCAGTCCCTGGGCAGACTGATGTTTGTTTTGGTTGATACTTGTTTTTACAATTACTGGACAGAGTTTGGGTTTTATCTTTAATGTCTTTTGAAAATTTTACCAAAGTTAAAACATCGCACAGCTCTTCTTCCCAAACCAGCATGGTGGGATAGAGAAGAGCTGCACAGTGTGGTTTGATTTTGATGAACTTATTTAAAAATCTTTTTACCTGCACAGCAGAGAGTCTCATCTGGTGCGTGGTGACAAATTATTATTCATAATACACTTTGGAAATACAGATTAGAACACTGGCTCACAGAACAAATGTCAACTCATCATCTGTGTCAGCGCGAAGGCAGAAACTCAATTGATGTCCTCAGTTGGGAGTAAATAAAGGAGCGCAGCCAAAGTTAGCTAAAGAAGCATTATGTGTGGCTCATTTTTACAAAAAATAAACAATTTAATTCTCAATAATGGTGTGTTATTTCTCAAAACTGGGAGTTGAATTTACTTTTTACATGCATTTCAAGCGGCATGTGCCACCCCTCTCCCATTCTGTGCCCTGGACTGGCCACCCCATCCAAAACTTTCTAGATCTGCCCCTGCTTTAGCTACCTGCAGCTGAACTTCAGGTAAAAAAAGATAACAATGCTTGATGTGATCCACCATGTTCCCCTGACAGTATAAGCAGATGTAGGAAATCCATTGAATAATGATATGAGTTGTGTTGAGACATCGTCAAAGGATTGTTCTCCCACTTTAAAGGCTTCACTACACTATCCTGATGACCTGCTGATGAGCAAAAGGATAAAGTATTTTAATGAAAACTTCTGAGTCACAACAACATACATCAGCAGCTACATTTCAGACCTTTCATCCCCACATGAGTCAAAGCAGTAGCTATTTCAGCAACTCAGCTTGTAGAGGCGACCGGACCTTTACTGTTCAAGTCAAACTTCTGAACTCCGGTCAGATGAGCTCACACCAGTGGGATCGCTTTAATCTTTTACACCACTTCTCAAAACACACTTGTACCATTAAAAAGTGCATTTTGTCTTATTTTATCTCTGTTTCAGTTTTGGTCTCATTCATCTCTGATTACTCTTTAGCTACACTCTTATTTTTTCTCTTTAGCTTATTTGTTTTGAAGTATTTAAACCTGTGCCTGAAAACCGGGGTCTCATCTTCATTTTTCTTGCTCTGCATGTTTGGCTATCCTTCTAGCCCTAACGCTTCTCTATTTTTCTTTCTGGAATTTTGATATCTCCTTTCTCCATTTTACTTAATCCCTTATTTATTTCCCTATTTCATCTTGTGAGGCACAAGACGTATGCGTGTGCAGCATACAGTATGACTGATTTTCTTTCAGGGGCCTGAAGGTTTTTGTGTCCCTGACCTTTTTCTCAATCCCAGAAATTATGGTTCACTAAACAATGAAAAGTGGTGAATTTCAATTTCAGTTTTAATACGTTCCTAAGATGTTTTCAACATCATGCATTTTATCCAAAACCTACTCTTCATTTTTTTTCTTTAAAGAAACAACAGATATAATAGTGAAGCATAAAGTGGCTATCATTTTTTTTATTATAACAGTGGAAAGGATAGCACTGATGAACCCACATCATCACCATGTCTGCAGTTTGCCTCAGCTCTAAAATAGCATTTTAACATCTTTTAGCGGTGTGGAAAGGAATAGTAACACTGCTTTATTATCTGCAAGATTCAAGTATATGCTGCCAACGTCACCATATCAACTTAAACTTGTGATCAGTCATTGTAGGCTTAGGTTTGTCAGACTATACAGTACCTTGTTGGGGTTTTATCAATAACAATAATAATAATAATAATGGTAAAGTCTAGACCTTACTATGTAAAGTGTCCTTGGATGCCTTTTACTGTTGTTGGTGCTATCCACAGAAGCAGAATGGGAGGCAGAGCCTTTAGCTATGAAGC